ATATAAGAGGGGTAGTAAAAAAGTAATACAAGTTCGTTTATAATTAAAAAAGGAAATATAAAGAATGCACTTGCACCTATCATACATCAAATTGAAGGGGAGCATCTGAGGATCAGATTTCTATTTTTCAACATAGTGTCCATCTCGTTCAATAGCCACTGTCCACCTTTTACTAAGTCCCCATATTATTATGCCAGCTTCGTAAAACGGAACAGGTTGGTCTTAGGGGTACAACCGTTTTGATATCTCCATCGAGTCCATAATGTTGACCTCTCAATAGTTCTTTTCTAGGATCGAAGGAGCCAAATCGAGATAATAAAGTTGAGTGTGGTTGTGTTTTCCACCCAAACGGGGTGATTATCTCCTTGTTCTAGTCCTCGTATACTGGTGGGCATTGTCATGGTGAAAAGAACACTCTTTCCATGTTGAATGTCGGCGTGACTCGTCTAATTCCCGCTTTCAGTCGTTTCAGAGTTTCAATGTAGGTTTTAGAATTGACAGTTATTCCTTATAATAATAAATTTGTGAGAAGCACGCTATGGACGTCCCAAAACCCGATTGCCGTGATTTTTCCGGGTGATTCTTCTGGACGACGCTTGTCTAACAAGCATATAAGGACACCTTTTCCTCCTCTTCCGGTTTATTGCCCAAGCGTCTAACCCACGCAAATACAGTTCCAAAATCTAGAGCTTGGTCCTTGTAAACATTTTGAAGTCTGTTTTGGATGTTATCGGTGAATTCTCTTTCTAAAACAAGAAATTCAAATTCAACCACAGCTCTATGCTTCTGACTGACCTCAAAGGGGACAACCATTTTGATGTGACGTCATCCAGGCAAAAATCAAAGAAACCTAATCATTAACAATTTGAGTTCAAAAGTAAAAGTCGTGCAAGTACATCTGAGCTGAATTTCATAAAATTTGACACAACCTTGTACAAAATAGCGAACAAATTGCATTACTTTTGACTGTCCATGTACTATATGAAATCTACTGCTTGTTATTTCTAAATTATTAGCGGGTAACATGTGTGGGTAATCTCACGGAACAACCTTGACATAAAAGAGCAGAGGGACCACAAGCTGCTCAACGAAAGAAAGGGATTTGATAGTGGCTGCTAAAAAAGTTTTTGCGATATTGATCCAGTCATGTCAAAATTTCGGAAACATTGGGGATACGGGTTTATTAGGATTGGGGTAGGGGGGGG